GTGTGTGTGTGTGTGTGTGTGTGTGTGTGCGTGTGCGTGTGTGTGTGTGCATGTGTGTGTGTGTGTGTGCATGTGTGTGTGTGTGTGTGTGTGCATGTGCGTGTGTGTGTGTGTGCGCGTGTGTGTGTGTGTGCGCGTGTGTGTGTGTGTGTGCGGCCCAATGCCTTCGTAACCGTTTTTGTAAGGGTCAGAGCCATTCGTACTTTGAAGCACTCTCTTTTTGAAAGCCCCTGTGCTGGATTCGTGATCTGCACAACCATGGATTTGTGACCCATCGGCATTCGAAAGCATTTCGTAGTTGCAATGCTGACAGCTGACCCTTGCAGTGCTTCCCCGGCCAACTACCAGAAGTCCAGTTGGTTACGAACAGCCTACGAACAGCCGGTTATTACGAATTGCGGTCTCCACAAACTTCGAATCACTTCCAAAGGGCTACGAATGGTGGTTGGCACAGGCTACGAACTGGTGATGGTGGCTACGAAGCAGCTTGGGCAGGTTACGAATCGAGGGCGCCACCCTCTCGAACGGAGCCCGTAAAAGGAGTATATGGACCGGTTACGCTTACGTAAGCTCCGCGACGGACATCCGTCATTCGCCGAGAGGCCAGGGCCGAGTACATGCCACTACTGCCCGTCTGCCCCTCGAAGGGAACTCCTGCTCGAGGACGAGGGAACAACGAGTGAAAAGGGGGGTTTGAGCCAACTGGCCAATGTGTGGTGCGCTGATCTGACGAGGAGAACTCACGAAATCTTTGGGACCACGGGAGGTCAGGTCCCAGCCTGCCGGTCAAGACAGGCGAGTGCGGCACTGCCGCCGTTGTTGTCGTTGTTGTCGTCGTTGTTGTTGTTGTTGTTGTTGTTGTTGTTGTTGTTGTTGTTGTTGTTGTTGTCGTCGCCGTCGCTGTCGCCGTCGCTGTCGCTGTCGTCGTCAGCTCTGCAAAGGTGGCGAGGGCGCGGCTGACCATGCGCCGAGGCAAAGAGGATGCTGGCCATGTTGATGAGGGCAGCAGTGTCTCTCTGCCAGATGCGCTGGCAGTCGTCCTGGCCGTCGACCTGCACGCGGCAGCGGCTGCACCGCTGCAACCGCCAGACCTTGCCGGTCCGGGCTCGGCCTGGTGCCGAAGGCGGCTCGTAAGAAGAGAGCGTTCGGCCGTGACACGTCGGGCAGCAGACAGACGTGCCCCACTCGTCAATGAGGTATACCGGCAGGCCGTTTCGTCGCATGGCGGCCCGGAAGTCCTTGCCCCTTGAGGGCGTCCGGCCAGCTCCGACGCTCCAGTTGCCGACGACGACCTTGATGTCCCGGCCAAATTTGTGCTTGATGCGCTCGGCAAGTGCGCGGTACGAGCGTTCGCCCCGGATGTAGCCAGCGAGGCGGAACTTCCGGTGAAGAGGATCGCCGGATCCTCGGGTCAGCGTTGTCGAGTAGTGTGCGGCCAGCACCTGCTCGTGCCGGCCATAGCGGCGGAGATGCTCCTCGAACTGCGCCAGGTCGAGCGTCCTCGCATTGCCCATGGACAGATCCGCCTCGGCTTCTCGAACCGCCCTCGTCTTGACTGCCTCGCGGATGGCGGCATAGCGTCGAGACCGCATGTCACGGGCTCGCTGGGCCTTGGTGTACGCGATGGTTTGGGGCTCCTCGGCAGTCGAGGTAAACAACATGCCCGAGACTATTGCCTTCTCGCCCGGATCCATCAGCAAGACGCTGTCGAGGTCCTCCGGCAGCAGAGAGTCGATGTACGGCTCTTCCAAATCGATGGCCCCATCGCCAAGATCGCCGCCGTGTCGGGTGGTCCTCTGCAGGCTCCGGCCCGAGTAATTCTGCATCTGAACAGTGGCGGCGACGGCATCGGTCTCGATAGACCCCTCAAAGGTGAGGATGCCGTCGTGGAGGGTGGTGACGTCTGGGTCAATCTGCCCGTGATGCCGAAAGATGGGCCGCGACAGATCGACTATCTCGTCCCACACGTCGAGGACGTCTCCTCGCGCGGGAGGGTTCTTTGCCTTGGCCAGAATGTGGTTCCACGCAATCCTGGTGTCGATACGGATGTGCCGCGGGATCCAGCCGTCGGCGAGAGGGTAGTAGGATGGGCTCCTCGGCTCGGGCGTCTGGACGACGGCATCCGGGTTCGCTGCCGCCCGGCGCTGGGCCGCCTCGAGCCGCCGCTGCATCTTTTGTCGAGCCTTGCGGTCGACCGGGTGGCGTTCCGCCGCATCGAGAGCAAGGCCGAGTTGGTGGAAGGCGGCGATGTGGCCACCTGGCCTCGCCACCACATCGTAGTAGATCGATTCGCGCTGAAAGGCCCAGCCGGCTGGGTAGCCAGCAAGGACCCGCTGTGCCGCCTCTCGGCAGCGGTGGAGGCGAGGGTCCGCCGAAGCGGTCGGGGTCCCCCTCGCCACGGACCGCTTGAACGAGGAGAGGACCTCACGGTCGTGTTCGAAGGCCGTGATGTCCGACGACAGCATCAAAAGCCGCCGCAGTCGCTTGCCGAAATTGGCGCGGATGGTGTTGGTGTGGTTGGTGACAATCTTGGTGGCCTGGTATCCGGCGATCTCGTCCACATTTGCGAACGCGCGGCGACGGTAGCCGGTGAGCTCGAGGAAGGCCGCGAGGTGTTGCGACAGCCAGAGTGGCTCGCAGTCTCTCAAGCCGCCTCGAGCGTCGAGCGTCAACGCCTTCCACACGTTCATGATGACCTGGGGGTCGTGCAGCGGGCTGAGGTCATATGCCGGCGTGTCGCTGAGGATCCGCACGCAGGCATACTTGAGGAAAAGCCGGACGTACCGGTCCACCTCGTTGACCCGAACGAATAGCTCCTCGAGGCGGGCCCGCAGCTCCGGCCGCCACCCGAGGCAATTGCGGACGGAGCCTTTGACAGACTTGATAGCCTCTCGCAGGGGTCGCGTGCGTCGAGGTCGGCGTGAGATGTGCTGGCGGGGGTGGCGAGGAGCTCGCCGACGGTTGCGACTGCGATGGCGACGGCCGGCACGAGGGCGACGGCCACGACGCTTGCCTCGGCAGTGGTTGCGGCCGTGCGGGCGCCTGCCACCGTGATGGCCGGGCCGGTGACGACGGGCAAACGCCGCGTGCATGGGCTCGTCGATGAGCGGCGGCTGCTCGCCCTGGCCCGTGATGGCTTGGTGCTCGCCCTGGCCCGCGATGGTGCTCTGCTCGCCCTGGCCCGTGATGGCGTGGTGCTCGCCCTGGCCCGCGATGGTGCTCTGCTCGCCCTGGCCCGTGATGGCGTGGTGCTCGCCCTGGCTCGCGATGGCGTGGTGCTCGCCCTGGCCCGCGATGGTGTCCTGCTCGCCCTGGCGAAGCGGAGTCGCCTCGAACCAAGGGGCGACCGCTGTGGCCTCCCGAGCGCTGCCGGCGCTTCTGCTCAGCTCAGTGCCCTAAGGTAGATGAAGGGATCAGCAACGCAGGTCAGTCCATTGCCTTTACCAAGCGGATCTCCGAAGACTGGAAGCACTCACATGGCCCTCGTACAGACATCGCGTCGGGGGGTCGCCCCGGCATCCCAAGCACTGGCAAGCGATCTTGCGCTGCTTGATGGCAGACATGATGTCCTTTGGCCGGTCGCAAAGGGCCGCAGTGTGCTGCTGCGGCGGCGGCGGCAGCAGCGCCGAATATTCTCAGCAGCGGAGAGGTAGGCCTTTGAGGCAGTGGACTTTGGCGATCTGTGAGGGGCGGAAAGAGACAAGGACAAGCGATGGAGGAGGAAAGGACGAAGGGGGAGCATACGCATCCACCTACCTTTGCGCCACCCGCTCAGCGAGCGAGCGAGCGAGCGAGCGTCTGCCCCCCGCCAGAGCGAGCCCGGCCAGGCCAGCCCGCCAAACAAGGCCAGGTCAGGCCTGCTTGCCCCGCACTCACCTCACCTCACCGCACGCACGCACGCACGCACACACGCAGGGCTGGACTGGGCCAGGCCAGGCTGGGCCAGGCAGCAGGCGGGGCCAGCGAGTTTCGCGTGGCTGCAGCTGGCGTTGCTGTTGCCTAGCCTAGCCTGGCCTGGGCTGGGCTGGGCTGGGCTGCGTGCTGCAGCAGCAGCCGGCCGCCTGCATCCAGGCCCACCTACCTGCCTGCAACGGCGGCGCCCAAGAAGACGCGTCCGCCCACTCACCTGCCTGCTTGCCCGCGGGCAGGGTCTGGCCAGCCACGCCTCGCCCTAGCCTTGGCCGCACGCACGCACGGCCTCGCCCATGCCTCCACATCTCGGCGGGCAGTAGCGGCGGCGACAATGGCGGGCGCGCGGGCACGAGGCCACCTCGACGGCGGCAGCGACATGCGGAGGATTCTCGGGAAGAGGCTTAATTGGTTGTCATTTTTGGGTTTGGACGGGCGGGTCGGGATGGGGAGGAGGTGTAGGTTGAGGACGACGGTCTCGGCCAAGACGGTGGTAGGCTCGACTCCTCCCTCTCTGCGCGCAGGAGCGAGGGGGTGAGGATGGGGGAATGGAGTCGTCGAGTCTTGACCGAGCCGGGCCCGGAAGGGGGGTGAAGGTTCGATATGGTGTACATGCGCGCTGGTCTTGGGTGAAAGAGCAGGGAGAGAGGGGGCGGTGCGAGCGAGGTGCATATGCGTGGCGAGAGAGAGCTTGCTTTCGTCGTCGTCGTCGTCGAAGAGTGAAGAAGGGTCGCAGCCGGAAACGGGGGCGGACGGGGGAGCGCTGGCGCGAGCCGGGTTCGAGGCGAGGGGCGTTTCGGCTTGGATCGAGGGTCGTGTCCGGCAGCGAAGGAGGGTGGACTGATCCGTGACCGAGTCCGGAGGGGTGGCAAGAGGATCGAGGCGTGGTCGAGGGTGGCGTCGTCGCCGTCCGTCGAAGAGGTCGCCGCCGAATGGGAAAACAGGTCCCGGTGGCCCGCCCAGCAAGCCTGGTCCCGACGAGGCGGCCTCCTCGACGTCTTGCGCAACGCCCGCTCGACAACACCCGGTCCTCCCACCGCCCCATGCCGCTTCCCTGCCAACGCGATTCGAGCCTGCCCCGAAGCCGCAAAAGGGCTCGGAGCAGGCCGTCCCCTCTCGACCATTCCGTCAAAACGTCCCCGCTCGAGCCAACCCGACCATCACAAGCCCGTCCGAGAAGAGCAAAGAAAGGGCCAAGGGCGTGGTGGATTGAAGGAGGGAATGCAGGGTCGAGACGGAAAAAGGAGCGGACTGGTCGCTTAGTTGTCCTTCATCTCGACGTCGCCGTCCTTCTTGTCCTCGGCCTTCTTGCCAGACTTGCGGGCAATGATGTTGGTGCTGCGGCGGCCAGGCGCAAGCGGGAGAAAGGGAGGAAGGAGAACGTCAGCGGCCTGCCTCTGGCGCTTGAAGCCAAGTGCCGAGACACCGTGGCCGGACCGTGCAGGGAAGCCCCGACCTCGAGCCTCGGGTCGTCTGCCAGCCCGGTGTGCATGCGAGCTGCAAATGGCCGCGGTCGACGCCGCCTCGGCTGTCCATCTTCGACCCGCAACACTCACCGGTCCTTGTCGATCTTGAGCTTGGTGATGACGACGTTCGAGGGGTGGACGGGGATCGGGACGGTGGCGCCGTTGGTCTTCTCGCGGTGCACGCGCTCGACGTGGATGACCCACTTCTTGCGGTAGACCTGGGTAACCTTGCCCTCGGAGCCCTTGTTGGAGCCGCGGACAATCAGGACCTCGTCGTCCTTGCGGACCGGGATCGACTTGATCTGCAGGGGAGCGGGAGGGAGGCAGGAGCAAGCGTCAGAAACCGCGTTCGTCGTAGCGGGCAAGGGCCGCAACCACGGCTGCGGATCGAGAGGGTTGGAGGAGTCGAGATGTGGTCGGAGTCGTCGGTCGCGGTAGAGGGCAGCGCAGCAGCAGAGCGACAGCTCCGCATGATCGGCCTGGCCCATTCGGACGCCCAAGAATCCAGCGGTCTGCCCTGTCCTTCGTCGGTTGCCCCAGACCCGGACAGCGTGGCCGGCCTCTCTCCACACCATCGCAGCTATCGCGAGCCGGACGACGAGAGGCGATGAGGCGAGACGAGGCAAGGCATGCCCCTGACGGCGAGCTTTTGCCCACCCCGCTCGCTGTCGAGCCCTGCGCCGCGCTCCCGAAGCAGGAAAGCCAGGGTCGCCGTAGAGCTGGCGAGCCGATCGGTGCCACCAAGCCGACCTGTGCCCCTGCGACCAGGTTCGCCTCCACTCTCGATGCGATCGAGCAGCGCCGTCCCTCGGATCCACCGCCGCAAGAGCTTGGGTCTTGCCGACGGCCGAGATCGACCCGTGGCGACCCGTCCTATCGCCACCCTTTCCGCCTCCTCCGCCGAAGCCTGTTTCCCTTGTTGCGGAAATGTCGCTCTCTGCTGCTGGCTCTGTCGTCTTTCGAAAGCGCCAAAGCTCCTGCTGCGATGTCGGGCGGGCAGGCGAGCGTTTGTGGCTGGTGCGTGCGGACAGGCCGCCTCTCCACCAGAAGTCGAAGCGGTGGTCGTCGTAGTCGTCGTCGTCGTCGTCATGGTCGTCGTCGGGTCGGCCTCGATCGGTGGCCATCTCCGGCGGTCGTCGGGCCGTACGTCGGACGGGTCGTAGGCTGGCACGCGACACTTACTCCGTGCTCGGATCGGAGCTCCTTGTTGAGCGACGAGGACATGATCTTCCTGCGGATGTGGCTGGGGGCGCTGAAGTGCGCCTTGCGCTGGGTGCGTCGCGACGAGCTGACCATGGCTGCTACTGGTATATCCGAGGGGGGACCGGGAGGGGTTAGGGTGAGGGTGATGGGGTGGTGGTGTCGACGGGATTCCTCTTGCTGGGAGTCTTGCGGGGGACGAGAGGGGATCAGAGGCGAGAAGGCGACGGCGGCCCAGACGTTGCACCCGGGACGCAGCGAGCGCCCGCCCAGCCCGGCCCAGCCCAGCCAA